GTTTCGGGTGGTGCCTTGTTTCCTGCGCTCACCGGCCTCGCGGCCGACCACATGACCTATCACAAGGCCATGTGCGTTCCCTTGGTCGGGTTCTTCGTCAGCTTTGTGTTCCCCATCTACTTGAACACGGTCTGCAAGAGAGAGTTGGACGGTTTCCGCGAAAGCAAGATTGGCTACGTTGATGAACGACGAGGAACCATCATTGGTGACATCAATGATCTCGAGACATTCGAGGTCATGGAGAAAAGAGGGTCCGTGAATGTTGAGAAGGTGTGAAGACGGCACAATCAAGCAGGAGGGGAAGAATGGTTGAGTTCATACGTTGGAGGGCACTTGTGATTCTTTATCAGGGCGCTATTGGCGGTGGGAAGAGATGATATGCCTAAATGATACCAACATTATTGTGCACGATCTTGACATTTCTTCCATCTAGCTCGCAACTCCCTACGGCATTCTCGTTGTAACTCAATCCCTCACTTCCCAGGGTGCGTCCTCGTATTACGAGTGTCTATGTCATCCATCAACTTTCCATCGTTGAACCAAAGACTTGGGTGGACACACTCTGGACTGTGAGCTCATCGTTCCAAGCGGGGTCGGCGAAATGAGGGTCTGACAAGAACCAGTCAACGTCACAAATAGTCATGAGGCATTGACTTGGTGTGGTTTTCTCGTATTCCGCCTCATCCAATCCAATTGGACGTCGACCCTGTCTACATACAAGTCAAAGCATAATTGGGTCAGCAATACAAGGGTCGCACAGGACGGAGCAGACTTAGCAGGGAACAACAAAGAGCGGGGGGTTCTGGCCTGGGTTGAGGTGCAATTTAGCAGGTTAGCTAAGGCAAATTTGATCCAGTAATGCCAATTGCCGTCAGCTTGGTCGACTTCGGCTTGCCCTTCTAGATCTTTTGGCATGCTGAGTAGCGCTCAATTTGACAGCCCAGATCCCTTTACCGTAGACTCGAATGGTATATTTGCGCTTGCCCAGACCAGGAATGTTGGACTCGACCCAATCGGCACCAAGAGTCCTGAACTGTCGGCTGCACAATCATGTGTGACACTTACAGAATGGTGATACCTCTCGACGACCAAGGTCAAGTCGCACGGCATTTGACCAAGACGTGGATCTGCGGCATTGGTTCGCGTCGCGCGCGCCTTCCAACTGGGCTGGAGCTGAAGTGGGAAGTTCCGCTGCTCTATATCAAGCATCAAATGTGTTCAATTCAACCTCCTTTGGACTTGGGGAAACTTCGATTCTGTCTTCACAGTAGCTCCAAACCAAGCTATACTCTGCTCCCATCATGTACGGCCGCGACCCTTACACCTTCATCAACGCCTCACACGTCCCGGACGCCGTCCTCGGAGTGATCACGAAGATTCTCATATCCTGGGATCAAACATCCACGGACTACGAATATGTCAACGCCTTCCACCCTGATGGCATCCTGCATGTCACCCCTGAGCCGGCTGTCGGCGAAGCAGCCATGAGGAAACTGCACGACGACATGGTTCATTCGACCAACGGTCCCATTGTGTCGCTCCAGCATTACCTTGACCGAGTCTTCCCCATGCCCGGCGCACCAGATGGGAAGACGGAAGTCGTTTTCACAGGGAAACTCACCAGTGTATTGAAATCTGGGAAGGAGGTTACCACGGATTTTGCCACCTGGATCGTAGCTCGCCCGGACAATACAGGGATTCTGAAGGTGGAGTTGCTGCGAGTGTTTTCGGACACGAGCGAATTGATGATGAATATTGGTGAGATGATGGCGGCACAGAGCTAGCTCGAGTGATTGTACGGGATCACAGAGAGGCGAGGGAATGGGAGGTCCGTTGTGGTGGAGGAACAAAAGCACGCAAAGGACACCTCGTAGAAGGTGGCTCGCTATGAAGGCAGCGCCTGATAAAAGCGAGATGCGGAAGACATAATATTTAGCAGAGGCATTTACATCGAGAAAAGCCTCGTGGCAACCATGTTCCTGACGAGGCTGTGGCAAAAGGGGGGATAAACAGCGAGGCGCAGATACACTGGGACGCGGATGCCCATGATGCAGCAAACAACTTATAAGCGCACCGTCAGTAAACACAAAAAGAATGTTCCGAATTCACCCTTGGCACTCATAGTTGGTTCCATCACTTCTGCAGCCCGTGATTCAGCCGTGCAATACCATGGAGGGTCAGGGGAGATGCCAGAGGGAACGGATAGCGAGGAGCTGGGCAGTGGAGAAATGGTGATGGCCTCTTTGCCTACGCCCACCATCCAGAGCCTGCGCCTCCGCCAGTCACTTCATACCCCGCAACCGCAAGAGGAAATTTCTCGCCGGACCAACCTGCACTCGAACATCAGACACATCCCTCGTCTGTCCAATCAAGGCTCTCTCTGTTGATTGTCCAGACTCTATACCCGTCAGGCAATTTTCCTCCGCTCCATCTTTCCCCATTACATGAGGCTCACGAATCCCTTATATCTACACCATCACTCACGTATTGTCCTTTAGCCAACATGAAACTACAAGTCACCTCGCAAATTCACCCATGGCCTCACAAGCCGTCGAGGTCACGTCAATTCCTCAGCTCGTTAGGCATGTTACCACAAGCCTGCAGCCCGCCTCAATCGTAGACTATGTGGCATTGGTCATTGCGGCCGTGATTGTTGCAGGATGCTTGACTAGAGGGACGCTGTGGGATAAGCCAGACCCTTATAGCCACATCTACTTTGAACGACCTCAACAGCGCAATGGCTTAGCGAGCTCGCAAACTCCATCACAGCGCAATATCGCAAAGGAGCTGTCCGAAACCGACAAAAGAGCCGTTGTCTTTTGGGGTTCTCAATCCGGGACAGCAGAACGTTTCGCCGTTCACCTTGTCAAAGAGGTGCAATCTCGGTTCGGGCTTGGTGCGCTGTCTGCCGATCTTTCGGACTACGACTCGGAATCTATCACTGAACTATCGGATGGTCGATTCGCGATCTTCATCCTCTCGACGTACGGCGAGGGTGACCCCAGCGACAATGCCAATGGCTTTTGGGACTGGATCAACCGTGGATCACCGCATTCTCTTTCGAACCTACAATTTGCTGCGTTTGGTCTCGGAAACAGCAACTACAAATACTACAACCGCGTCGTCGATGTGGTGGTCGAAGCATTGACAGGGAAAGGAGCAACTCTTCTCTTACCGGCGGGTAAAGCAGATGACGCGGAACACTCTACCGATGAAGACTTCCTTTCATGGAAAGATGACCTCTTCGCTATGTTCAGGAGTAAACTGGGGATGGAAGAACGCGTGGTCGAATATCAACCTAGCATTATTGTCACCGAAGACGATTCTCTAGCGCTCATCGACATCCATCAGGGCAAGCCCACGCATTCCAGAGACAACCCCAAAGCCGCTGCGGCATGCTCACCTATTCGACCACTATCAATCACGAATTCGCGGGAACTCTTCCAGAATTCCGAGCGAAATTGTGTCCACATGGAGCTTGACCTTGCGGAGCATCCTGAGATTCACTACAAGACGGGCGATCATCTTACCGTATGGCCCACAAACCCGGAACCAGAAGTTGAAATACTTATCTCGGTTCTGCATCTACATGATCGTCAAGACTTTCCGTTAAGCCTCAAATCCGTCGATGCGGCAACTAAGCTCCAAATTCCGACCCCTACAACAATCCGTGCTCTTTTCCACAGATATCTGGAAATATGCGCCCCAGTATCGCGGAGCACCATCCAAGGGCTCGCTGCCTTCGCTCCGTCACCCCAAGCAAAGCAGCGGGTCCTTGAACTTGGCCAAGACAAAGACCTTTACATGTCATTTCTGAGGAAGAACCACCTGACGCTAGGTCGGCTACTCAAGCTTGCCAGCCAGGGGGAACCATGGGCCAAGCTACCCCTGGCTTACTTGATAGAGGCTCTGCCTCTGATGCAACCGCGCTACTACTCGATCTCGTCAAGTAGCGTGCTCAGTCCACGAAAGGCCGCGATCACTGCCCTCGTCGCTTCGGATCATGTCCCCGAAGATCCAGAGCAAAAGATCCTAGGTGTCACATCCAACTATCTCCTTGCACTATCGCAGACACATCCTGCCTCTGCCCCAGCAGATAGACAGGCAGAGAAGGTCACCTCTCCACAGTACGACCTCCTTGGTCCTTCTAACCTCCTTCACGGCACCAAGATCTTCGGGCACGTCCGCAAAAGCAAGTTTAAACTCCCCATCCAATCCAGCTGTCCCATCATCATGGTCGCGGCGGGGACCGGGATCGCTCCCTTTCGAGCCTTCATTGCCGAGCGGGCAAAGCTCCACGCCATCGGAAAACCTATTGGGGAGATGATGCTGTTCTTCGGCTGTCGCCGGCCCCAAGAAGACTACATCTATCGTGACGAGCTGGAGCAAGCTCAAGCCGCGGTCGGGAAGCACGTCTTCCAGATCGTCACGGCCTTTTCGCGCGTGCCCGGCCAAGACAAGGTCTACGTCCAACAGCGCGTGCGAGAACACGGCACCCAGGTTGTCCAGATGATTGAGGAGAAGAGTGCAAACCTGTACATTTGCGGGCGCGCCTCTATGGCGAGAGAGGTCGGGTTCAGTCTGGGTGAGACGGTGAAGGCGCTGAAAGGATGGAGCGATTCCGAGGTCAAGGGCTGGACTGAAGCGCTCAAGCGGACGGGGAAGTGGAGGGAAGATGTTTGGGGATGAAGAAAGGGGTCTACACACAAATTAGAAGAGCGTTCTCTCTCTCCGTGTTCAGTTGAGACGTGTCATTGAGATTTCACACCACACATGCTGCCCTTGTTCGATGAGTGTCCGACCAACGCACATTTATATAGATGAGGTAAAACGACAATTCGAATAAGGGTGCGACCTACAGTACCACTCTAACTCTTTAAACGCTTCGTATAAGCAATGTCGGTCGTGTTCAGGTCTGCTACATTAATCACAGATTCACCAGGCCGTGTCCCTCCCCCTTAATATCATGAGAGACAATCAAACATAATATACAACACCAATCAGAAAAACATCAAAGGGATCATAGAACCGCGCCACACGTCGTTCACTTCGTGAAAAAGCTCCACAACCCGCGGATGCCAACCGCCCAAGCCACCTCTGAATTGATGGATCTCGTTTTTGACATCGAGATGGCTGAACGCCTCTTCGTTCTCCCCAGCAAGAGAGAGGACCTCGAGCCCACAGTGAAAGATATACCGCACCAGGCCACAGTCCCGTTTGACTTCTGTGTGGCGTCCATTGACACGAGGACATTGCCTTCTTGTGCAGAGCCATGGCTTCTCGAAAGCCGCGTTGATGAGGTACAGGCTGTGGGCGAGGTAGATGGAGCGTTCAATTGCCTTTGGTGAAGCGACTTGGGCTTCTTCCTGTTCCACCGTCTTCTTCCTCCCCCACCACTGCATGCGGTTGGGCGACATGTCCTTGGGCGTCAACCACTTGCTCTCATGTTTGTACCGTTTCAGAAGACTGCTCTGAAGACTATGAAGCGCAACCCCGTAGTCAACGAGACGCGGATTGCGGCTGCTACCAGCAACACTTTGAGAGAAGACCGCAATTCGGTATGCTTCAAGCTCTGCAAACAGTTGGGCGATGTCACCGTTGACCCCTCTTCCGCAGAAACCAGCATGCTCCCAGAAAGCCATTCCAAATGGTTCGTCCGTTTCTCCCGGTGTCAAGGTGGCCAAGATGCTGTCAAAGGAGCAATTACCATGACTGAAGCACTAATTGTCTGGAAAATATTGCCGGTCGACATCGTCGAGGAGAATTCTGCAGAAACGGTCCAACACGTTCGGAGACTCCACAAATACCTCCATGTGCTGAACGTGATTTCGCCATTTTGTAACCTCTCCACGAAGTCTGTGTCTCCCTTCATCCGCACAGGCAAATTTCGTAGGCGACGGAGCATTGCTCGTCAACTGCAGCTGTTTCATGATATGCGGGTCGTGCATCGTGGCAAGCAAGACAGCCAATCTCGTACCCAGCAACTTGAAAAAGGGCCTAACGACCCGAGGGCACGCAAAGAGACTTCGAACTGCAGATCGGTCTGCCGTTCTTACACGACTTTGAGTATTTTGGTCAAAGGCTTCGCCGAACAGGAGTGAAAGTGGCCGCAAGTTCCCCCACGCCGAAGTGAGCAAGATCGAGCGTTCAGGGTCATAATGGAGAGGCCTAGGAATATGAACATCTGTTTGTTGCTGTACATCATACAACGACCCCATGGACAGTGAGTCCAAGGAACAACGACGAAATGGCATAAGTCGAGCAAGTCCTTCCCTTCTGGACGGGGTGTGGTGTTCGGGCGACGAGGGTTTCGTGAACAATAACAATGCAGCTTGGTGGATGCTCTGCGAGTCGGGTTAGTAACAGGTAAAGTAAATATGCCATGTTGATTCGAAACGATTAGGGACGTGAAGAGGGATCTGGGCACAGAAATATAGAAGACATCTGCCCTTACTAGTGCTTTGGGGTGAGAATCTTCGGATGTTTGAGGATCTGAAGGAGGCTCAGGAAGATGGTAAAAGACCAGCGAAGGAGGAAAGGACGGGTCATGGTTCAGCTCGGCATATCCGGTGGACTGATCACGGATTGTCGCTTGAACAAGAACGGAATTTTCTGCACCTGGTGGGTTACGCAAAGGGATGGTGTCGTATCTCGCATATTGCTGGCTGTCGTTGAGGCGATTCAGGTAGCCTTCAGGATCAAGAGCATATGCTAATGGTGCTGAGGGTTGACTCGGTAAGATGAAGTGATCCATGTCTAGAGTTGATACTCGGGATTTTGCGCGACGATGGCCGTGTTTCGTCGAAGAAGAGAGGGCAGAGGAGAGTAATGATCGAGAACTCAAGAGCTAAGTGGAGAAGATGAAAAGATGCGTCAAATAATCTGGCGTGCTGGAGATGACAGATATAAGCCTGGCCGGCCTAAATAAAAAGCAAAGGGATGAGCATTTGAAGCTGCTGTTGTGATGCAAAGGAGGCAACGTCTTCTGTTCGACCAAAGGATTCCGGTAGACATGAAAAAGGCAGAGGGAGGGAATCCAGGCTGAACTGATGCAATGAATGGCAAGCACGAGCATCTCGGCTGCCTCCATGCAAATCTATTCGTGATACTCATCTCCTGTCCAATCGACGAACAGGTCAAGTCGCTGAATCGGTACATGTGATCGAGAGCGCTGGGTCGCGGTTGCAGAAAAAACGCTGAAACGGCACTGTACATTCCTGCGGCAGTCTATCTCCCATGATACTCGGACCCAGCTGTCAAGGATTATTTAGATGTGAACGAAAACGTGAGAAAGCCGGCCAGCCCAAAAGTGGCCATTCATTATTTGCCGGGGTATTTGGCCTTTCCGAACGAGAAGGGTACGTAACGGTACTTGATCATATGTTGGATCTGTCGTCTCACTGGGATGCAATGTCAGCGACGGCACTCGCTCATGGAGGATGGATCAGCTCACTAGTTAGGGAGAAGAGGATCAGCCAGTACATAACGAGCACGGGCCAGAAGACCGGCAGGTTAAAGATCTCAAACCAACTGCAGAGAAAGCTGATGGTGATTGCTCTTGTTGCAGAATGCCAGAACTTGAACTCGGGCAGCCTTCTGATAAACGGTCTGAACTCGTCGTCATTCTTGGTGGGCAGAGATGAGCCTTCACCATCCTCGAGTCCCTCGTCCTGCGACAGGCTGGGATCGAATTTGGGCTGAAGGAACGCGAGGAAGAGATTGAGCAGGTAAATGCCCAGACAATAGGCGACAATATACCAGCCTTGAGCGACAATGATCCGGAGGAAGAAGAGAAGGAGGAGCACAGCGGTTGCCGACCATCGGTAGGCGACGTAGGGGGTTGATTTGTCGAGGTAAGTTTGGTATTGCTGCAGGAGATCTTTGTTAGCGGCCTGGAATTGTTTCCCCTCTTGGAGTGCTAGTTCATACCCTTAGCAGCTTATTGCTCTGTGTACTTATGGCGTCGAAAGGGGTAGTTTCCGGCTCAGGTCCGTCCATAGTGGCAGCGCTCGTCGGTAGTGTTGCGGAGATATAGGGCCTGCGCATGCAGTTCAGGCGCGGTTGGGGACAAGGTATGGGTGAGGCGCGCACAAGTTGAGGATGTCTGTTACAACGAAGAACAAACCCGTCGTAGAGTTAGAGACGATATTTGGCGACAAGGAATGAACTAACAATGTGGCGAGATGTGTTAAAGGGGGTGGAAGTCTGTTTGTTGAAGCCACGTCGTGTTTTTCACTCGTGGCAGCCGTTCACAAAACTTGGGAGTGGAGGCTCCAGAGCGCAGGGCAAACGTCCAAAACTGCGCCTCACTAGCCACACCCGCTTCTGCCTGTGGCGATAAGTTTGAATGCTAGCAGGCTAGTTAATCCGTTCCGGGGTCCTCATGTCTTCCCGCGGCGAATCGTCGGTGGTCGGCCAAAACTGCGGACCAGCAGCCGAGGACAAACAGGTGGGTTGTGGGCTTGGGCTTGTGTTCTGCGGTGTCGAAGCTGTGTCAATGCTTTACCTGCAATATGTAAAGCATCACTCCCTCGAGATCTCTGCGATCTCCTTGATAATACTGTATAGCAACAACTTTGCACAATGGCTCCTCTGAGGCTGCTCTCGCGTCCTGCTGCCGCGCTCTCTGCTGTGCCACGAACCCTCCCACGGCTGGTCCGCTTTCAATCCACTTCCAGCAGCTATGAAAACATTTTGGTGTCTACACCCAGACCAGGCGTTGGACTCAGTACGTTTTTAGAACTATGGTTGTGTCTACCACAGGGTACCCTCTAACATCTCCAGTCACGCTCAATCGTCCGAAAGCCCTGAACGCCCTCTCTAGTGCTCTGTTTGTTGAATTAAACGATGCTCTGAAGAAATACGAAGACGACAAGGATATTGGTGCCATTGTTTTGACCGGCAGTGACAAGGCATTTGCCGGTAAGAAAAAGAGTATATCTGCAACAGATTGATCGCAGACTGACAGGTTATGATTAGCCGGCGCAGACATCAAAGAGATGGCTCCCTTGACCTTTTCCGACGCCTATGTCAACAACTTCATAGCCCCTTGGTCTTACATGACAACCCTACGAAAACCCATCATCGCAGCAGTCTCGGGACATGCTCTTGGTGGAGGATGTGAGCTTGCCATGATGTGCGACGTCCTGTACTGCACCAAGACTGCAAACTTTGGGCAACCCGAGATCAAACTTGGCACAATACCAGGTGCAGGAGGGTCCCAGCGCCTCACTGCAGCCCTTGGGAAGAGCAAGTCTATGGAACTCATTCTCACAGGAAACAATCTTAGTGGCGAGGAGGCCGAGAAACACGGTCTCGCTGCCAAAGCCTTCGAGGGGGGAAACAAAGAGGTTCTTGAGGGTGCTCTAAACACGGCGGAAAAGATTGCTGGTTACAGTCGGGTGGCGGTCATTGCGGCCAAAGAAGTTGTCAACAAGAGCCAGGACCTTGGGGTCAGAGAGGGTGTTGAGTACGAACGACGCATATTCCACAGTCTGTTTGGTAGCCAAGATCAAAAGATTGGCATGAAGGCGTTTGCAGAGAAGAAAAAGGCCGAGTGGACTAACTCATGATGGCTGCTGCAACAAGGTCAAGCTCAGGTACAGGCTCCGCTTTAGGAGTGCAGGGAATGCTGAGTTTGGGGGTCTATGTATACATAGTGACAATCAGGAAATTGGTCTAACTTATAATAGATAAGGAAAGGCGTCCGACCTCGTACTCGGTACTGCGAGACCATGTATACCTAGCTGAGTTGAAAGGATACAAGAGATATAAAAGCCCCACAATATATGGACATACCGTAGATAGATCCCTAGGCATGTACCGAGTTTCCAGTCAGTAAAACACCTTTTAACTCCATTCACCGCTTCCTACGACGTACCGAGTACATCTCCCGCTATTTGGCCGGGAATGCCTCAGGGAAATCCAAGTTGAGGTTGTACGAAGTCAAGGATGGACCAAGGTCGTACAACTTTGAAGCCCCGAATCCGATGGCCCTGGAGGATCTGAGCCATACTCTGGGGGCCCAGCATGAAAATGGCCCAGAAGGGGTTCCACCGGGACATGTAAACACTGAGCTCGCCTGGGGAAAAGGTGTCTGACCCTCACGATGATTTATCAAGGGGGCAGAAACCACTGGAGTCATCCTTGGTACATACGTACACCGCATCTATTCAAAGGATCAAAGCCAAGCCGAAAACCCTTTCAAGTAGAAGACGCACGATGGCACCTTGAAGCCCGCTTACTGTCTGTAGCCTAACAGGCTATTTAGCCCTTTTGCCAGAGTATACCTAGCGGCGGGATCCAAGCTTCAACTGGAGGTGACCCCTCCGAAACAGGTACTCGTTCTTTGGACGAGCAGCAGAACTATTCGGAATGTTCCTTTGCGTCGCGATTCCCTGCTACCTGACCTACCCCTCCATCCATATCTGACGGATAGTATGAAGTGGCCTAGACCTCGTACACAGAAGTACATAGTATGGACACGAATTGAGCATTAATAATGCCTCCGGATGTATCACTCTGTTGTAGCCGTTCTCGGTACACGTACGTCCCTGGTCGGTTGGGAACAAATCCGGATTGACAGGGTCCGTTTAGATAAAATATAACTAATTTGTGGCTGGCCTTTTACCTCGTGTGTATGACAAACGCCACCAAATGACGAGGTGGATTGCCCCTCGCTAAAGTACCATGAGTATGCAGCATGCCGCGATTGTCGAGTTGTGTGAGGCCTTGTCCTTGTGTGCGCAGTGTACAACTAGGTCCTTCGTATTGTGCTCGTACAGTAAAACGAGTATTTTGGGAATCTGGAGTGAGTGTCGAGGACGACAATGACTGACACTTGACGTCGCTCCCTTTCCGCCGTCTGTTTCTTCTCTGAGACTCGTTTCTTTTCTCTCTTTCTCACCCTCTCCCACAAGTCACCTCGATGGTACCAAACTTGTGATTTGGCTGCTAGTATTTGCAAAAACCCTGTCAGCACTCAATCCGACTCCCAAAGCCTCGTCAGGCCCACCAGTGCTACTGCTTACTCGACAAGGAGTGTGCTAGACTCTGGTCGACTCGTGTACTTGTGGGTGGGGTTAGCAGAAAATGGATTACTTGCCATGCTTTCGTATCTCCTCCTCAAACCGAACCCCACAACTCTTTGTCCTTTGAACCACCGTGTCAGGTCTCAGGAAAGGGGGGCAAGACGGGTATCTCACCAGTTGATTCGCCACGTCGGCTGCGAAGGAATACTGGGACACTTCCAACCCATGGGGCTTATGACCCTGGAGGCTGTTGGCCTGACCAAGCGATATGGTTGCTAAACCCAATTTGCGGGAAGAGGGCAAGAGGGGTTGCATACGGTATCGTTCACTGGTGCTGTTTTTGTGGCCTTTTGGTTGTCGTGTCTTTTGAGTGTTTGATCAGAGCTGACCCTCAGTCGAGCCATGTCCTCGGCGTATATAAGACCACCTTGTGTCCTGGCATTTTTTTCTTCTTCTGTGAACATCTCGTTAATCACTCACCATTGAATAAGGCCAGCTTCCCTACCCCTCAATAACCATAGCCTTACCGATACAGCCCCAACACAAGATGGCTCCCTCAGCAACCGTCGATGCTCCCGCCCAGGGATTCCAGCCAAAGCACATCGAAGACCGTCTCTTTATCAATGGTGAATTCGTTCCGTCCAAGTCAGGGAAGAAGTTCGACATCATCAACCCCAACAACGAGAAGTTGGCTGCATCGGTATATGAAGCTGGCGCCGAGGAT